GCCATGTGGGATGGTGTCAAATGCCTTGCACCATGTTGTATCAGGTAGCAGAAAGTAGGGGAAGCTTGGTTAATGTCCTGTCCTGGTACCTGAAACACTCCCTTGAATGCAGTAAGAGGAGCCTGTATGGGTTAAGTTGACTCTTCCCCTTCCTCACCCTTCCCCCTGATTTTGGGAATCCAGCTCTGATACAGTAAGAATAGTAGATGCTTGTGCAGCCTTCGGAATGTCTCCTCAAGCGACCAGCAAATCTCCTATTCTGCTAGGTAATGTGGTGGCAAAATACTAGTGATTAGGATGCCATATAAGTGAGGCCCACAGTGAAGCAGTTTGAGGCACAGGTTACTCGTGCAGCTTATGGAGACTTGTCTGTATTTCTGTATCTCAAATGTTTCTCAATGCTGTTGTTTTTGCTGAAGTGGAACTATTTTGTAACTTAACAGCTTGTTTCTGCTTATCAAAACTTCTAATTTGTCTAATCAATAGCTTCTGTTCTTGTCTTTAGACAAATCTACCCATCTTCAAATTGAAAGAATCTACAGTCAGAAGAAGGTACAGTGACTTTGAATGGTTAAGGAATGAACTAGAAAGAGAAAGCAAGGTGGGTAAAATGAAACATAAATCCAAGTCTTCACAGATACACAAAAATTAGTGATGCTGAAATGTTATAATTATGTTGTGAAGCATCTATGTCATATAGAGCAGAGATTGTGATGGAAAATATCCAGAACTAAACGCTGCCTTTCAGCAAACCTCGGTTGTCACAATGCTAGAGGCTATTTGATGGTTTTGAGTTAATTCAGAGTTAAACTACTTGAATTCAACTTACCTCTATGGCAGATACTGTTCTTCTCTGGTCATGTTTGCTTTACTTCACTAGGCATGTGATGAATGAGTTGAGTTCTCTAGGAAGAAGAGGTGGCACGGGAGGTGTGTAAACTTGCTTACAGGTGGCACTTAAGGACACTCTTCTAAATCTTTCAGGTTGTGGTACCACCTCTACCAGGAAAAGCTCTTCTCCGTCAGCTCCCCTTCCGAGGAGATGATGGCATATTTGATGATTCCTTTATAGAGGAAAGGAAGCAGGCTCTTGAACAATTCATAAACAAGTAAGTGTTGGGTCTAGTTATCTGGAGACAAACCCAGAACTCGGCTCTGGAAAACTGAATTAAAGCTGCTAATCCTCTTAACTATGGTAGCTGTACTAGGTTCAGAATAGTAACTTTCACATAATCTTGCAGTAGGGCATACTAACATTGCTCATGCAATGTTTAGTTTGGATATCTTGATGCTTACCTGAACAGCTGAAAGGAATGTTAGTGTTGTTGTTAATTTATGCAAATTACTACTAAAATTATAGCATTCAAAATAGTTGTACCTTTTCATTTCTGAAAAGGTATCCTCCATTGGGTGAACAATGGAGCTTACAATGGGCTTACAGCAGTTTACTTTGATTGCAGATGTGAGGTATTATCAGCTTGTGTAATGATGTTTATTTTCTCTACTTACCATGAAAATCTTTTTGAAATGCAAAAACACTGCTTGAGGTATGCACATAGATAGTTTGAAATAGAAACTTTGGGTTTTGTCACTGCCTTTCAAAGGGTGAGCAGAAACTAAAGTAACAGTCTTATGGTTCTTTTTCTACCATCTGACATGACTGACTGCTCTCTGTATAGTGACCTGAAGAGCTACTTTAATCTCTTTAACAATGTGGATCCAAACAGTGGGGAAAGAAGGAATACTGTCAGTTAACCAGCTTTTCTGGTCTCGAGAGCCAACACTGTTCAGACCAACTGGATTTGGGACTGCTCCCTTTAAAAGTTCAAGCTTGTCAGTTCCACTAGTATTTTAATATCGTTCAATAGTAATGCTGTTTAACAGGGACAGAAGATGGCCAAGTTGAGCCAGAACTTCATCTGCTCATCAGTTATTGCTAGTCAGTTTAGGCATGTGGCTTAGAATTCCAAGTGACTAGTTCACTAGAACAGTCTTGTGCAAGGTAAGCTAAGTGTGACTGTGTGAAAAATATTAAGTTTTCCTTCATGTAGTTGCTTGTTAGCTTAATTAAGAGATATTGCTAATGGTTCTGAGTAAGTAAAATGCTTCAGAATGCTCTTTTCTCTGTTCAAACACAAGCAGAATGAATTTCCAAACATCTAGTTTTGCAGTTACACTACATGAAGGCAGATGTGCTTATAGTAAGATGGAATGTGTTTTGTTTTTTTAAGGCTGTACAATTAAGGCAGTCATGACTGTAAAGTACGACTTCTACCCATGTAGGCTTGGGACTCCACATTAAATGTAGAAAAAATGTTCTTACTGAAAGTTTTGTATGCTGAGGATAGCAATATGTGGAGGAAGAGGGCTGTTTGTTCTGAAGCAGCTGATAGTGAAATAGTCACCTTAACTGGAATCTCTAGAAAAAGTCAATACAGCTGACAGAAACAGAGTGGCTGGTTTACTGGTAGTGCTTATTCAGTCCTATGGCAAGTAATACCTTGATCTTGCAGAAGTGTAAAACTTTTTGATCAATTTTTCCTTCTTTGAAACATAAAAGCAGGTTGTTGTGGACACTGATGTAGTGGCAGACCTGAGTACAACTGGAACAAGATTCTTCAGGCAGAACTAGCTGTTCAGCCTCATAAATTCAGTCAAATGGCATGACCAACTCATCAAGCAAATATTAGTAATTAAGGTTTTGAACCATGTGGAAGCTTCAAAGCTTCTACCAAGTACTCTGGGTACTAGTGAAATTAGTCCTAAAGTTATTTTGCATAATACATTCACATTACTGTATTCTCAAAGCTGGTCTTTGCTCCTAGAACCAGAAGAGTCCCCTCAGATAACTAATATCACTGTATCCAAAAATGCACCAATGCCAATTCTTGATATCCAGAATGTTGTTGAGAAGCTTTGTCCCTCTAGATGTAAAATCTTGAAGGGCTAAATCACAGCAGTGCAGCTTACTTGAGTCAGCTCTCTTGAGCCAGCTTGCTGGCACCACCATCAATACTACCTACAAGGACACTCCCAAGGGTAGCTATGTTGCAAAACACTTGTCTGCCTGAACCTGACTTTGGGATACAGGAAAGCTCTGAAGTAGCGGCTGCTCTGTGTAAGGATCACCTTAGAGAAGAATACTGAGGAGAAGCCAATGCAGAGTGAGATACTAATGTTAAACCAAGAGCTGACTGTGAGAGATCACATCTAGTCTTTCAATTCAGCCACCAATCTGCAAGCCTTGCTGAAAGGGAGAAGGAATATGCTGCTGCTTCGTCATCTTTTCCTGTATGTCTTTCTCTTGAGGTTCAAGGCCAGCAGCTTCAGTCAAATTACTTAGTGTTCAACTAGGTAATTTCCATTTAGAGTAGTAATGTTCTGACAGATATGAAGGCCATAAGGCTGACACAAGCTGTCCTAGGGAGGATGGGGCCTTTGTCTTAAAGGGAGAGAGGCCTATCTTGGTTGACCAAACTGGATATAACTTTTTTCAAGCCAAACTGCTTTAGGTCTTCATATCAATAAGTGATCAACTTCCAGGGATTCTGATTCTCTTGGTTTTTTACCTACACAGAAGACTGTATGGTATTTTAAGGGCTTAAATGCAGTACCTCGTGGTTTTCTTCCAAGCTTGGGAGTGTTTTCTAATTCAATTTTGGCTACTTTACTGTTAAAAGGATGGTGGCTCAATTTATATGTGGGGAAAAAAACCACAACCCTATATCTGTAGTAGAGGTGCTGGTCTCTTCTAGAGCAGACAAGCTCTGTCTCCTATGTTTCATATCTAAAGACATCTGCAGTTAACAGAATGGCCAGTACCCTCTGGCTGTGCATCATTGCTGCTTGTATGTGCCAGGGATAGTGACCATGGTAAGTCACTGCTCTGAACAGTGCCAGAGCCTTCAGAAGACCTTCACACCCTCTGGTGGAGTAAGTCCTTAACTCTGCCTGGGCTAACTGCTATTGAATTAGACTGAGAACTGAGGAGTTAAGCTGCCCCTTTAGAAAGGTGCCCTGTTTCAAAGGCATCAGGACCTGTAGAAATCTGCTTGGCTTGCTTAACTTTGTATTTCCTAATGCTGGGATGGGCACTTTCATAGCCCTTCTCAATTGCAAGTGACAGATGATGACATAACATGCTTCCAAATGATCAGAAGTAGCTCAGGGTTCCTATGGGCTAACTTCATCTGGTGGAAAATGACAGATCTTGCTGCCAGATGTCATTCTTGTCACCAGCATGAACTGGAAGCTGGGATTTGTGCTGAAGTGCAGAACCATAGGTTACTGGTATAAACCCTTGTTCTGCTGGCTAGCTGCAAGTAGACTCGATTTGTTAGCACTAATGCTTGTTTTTTCCTCTCCAGGGTTGCAGGCCACCCACTGGCACAGAACGAGCGCTGTCTTCACATGTTCTTACAAGATGAAGTAATAGACAAAAACTACACACCATCCAAAATAAGACATACTTGAGTTTTGAAGCCACCTTCTCAAACATTAGTGGTTCTTATGCTTGGTTTTAAGAGGTTGTAGTTTGTCTTAGCATGCTGAGGATAAACAGACACGAAGTCTTCACTAACATCAGTACACTGCTTGGTCTTTGCATATGCTTTATAGCATTAAAGAACTCACTTATCTTCTAGCTAAATCCCTCTGAATCCTTGATTTAAGAGTATTATACTATGAGACTATCCACCCCTTGCAATGTCTCACAAACCTTTCCACTCTTATTTGCAATGACTTAACAATGTTTACTGACTTGGCCTTACTTGAACTTGCACAGTTGTAGTGTCATGTGTTCACATGTATTTGACTAAACTGCTATGCTGTTTCTGAGGTAGTCATCTGTCTGAACTTCTGTAGAAAGACTGCTTTCTTTCTGATACCCTGTGTGAGAAACACTTATGCAATTGTCTTCAAGCTTGTAAAACACTTTATACTGAAGTAATGAGGGAATTATCTTTATATTCTGTAAGAGGAAAAAAAATCAAATTTATATACTAAAGTAACTTGTCTAAAGTTTTGAAATAAAAGTGAAAATGCACTTCAGATGTTTTGTCACTCTTGACCTTGAGTGTGGGGAATCTCATGCTTTCTGAGAAGCAGAGACTTGACTTTCAGCCTTGCTGTGATGATCTTCTGCAATGTTACTAACAGCCAGCACTAAATACCCTTAGATGCTGGCACTCTGCTCAAGGGTTAAAGAGCATATAAAGGTATTGAAGGCTGTTCCTGCGTTGTGGGGCCGAAGCTGGAACCTCATTCATAGTAGGCAGTCAACAGATCTGTGGCTTCAGTAAGTTTGAGAAAAGATCACTTTTCTACTTGAGATAAGAAGCATCAATCTTGCTTCAAGTGAAAATGATAACATTCCTTTCTCTGTAGGATTATGACTTACTTAACTTATAATATAACTTAAGTCCTAGATTAAAGTGGCTCTGCTCCACAAATACAGCTGGGGACACGAAGGCATACAAGCCTGCTATAAGATGTCATCCTAGACCACTTGCCTGAACCTTAAAGAAAGGAGAAGCTGTAGTGTTGTACTTGTATGACCACTGGTGAAATGCAGGTTGTTGAACTGCAGTTCAGACATCAACAGTGCCAAAGTCTTTCTCACGAAATACTTCTGTGGCTGGAGAAGCTTCCTTAGTGCTTCCAAATGTGACATGGGAGTTACTTATCCAGATGCTCTTAAAAACAGACTCAAGAACACTCTAGTAGCAATCTGATCCAGTGTTTTGTGCTATTTGGTAACAAGACATGTTGGCTTGAACTTGGCTCTGCTGCTTTTTCCTTCTCATAATAGTCATCACTGTTGAGAACATCCTACAAACTTACTGGCAAAACTATTATTTTCGTTTTACATAAAACCAGTAGCCTCATTTATGGAAATCTGGATGTAAAAGATTGAACTGTCAAAACAGAGGTGTCTGACTGGATTATATGCAGAACCTAGTGACTAGCTACACTGAATAGTTAGATGCTCAAATAATTGGTCTTTCCCCCTCATACTTAACAAAGAGACTGTTGCATTTCTACAACAGTCAGAGAAACCAGAGACCAGAGACCAAAACTGACAGAACCCACTTGCAGCCTAGAGCTGTCTAGCTTTTCAAGAAGCTTTTGATAACCTATTAATGAAACCAGAGACCAAAACTGACAGAACCCACTTGCAGCCTAGAGCTGTCTAGCTTTTCAAGAAGCTTTTGATAACTTGTTGAATCGCACTTAAAAGTTGAGTTACTATTGGAAATGGGGAAAGAAAGGCTAAATGTATATGAAGTTTTCATATTTAGGTTTAGATATATAGTAAGATATTTTTAATTTCTCAAATGTTCTTTACTGAGAGAAGCTTCTTCCAGAAATCAAGGTAAATGCTCCATCTCACCCTTACAAGATGATGACACAATCTGTATCATCTGCTGTGGACAAAATAAATTAAGCTGAAGAGGGAAGAGCTGCATGCTTGATGTCAAAGTATTCCTATTTCCAAAGTGAGGACCACAGGGATCTGGGCATTGTTCCCAACTCATGAGTCTGCAGCTGGGCTAGGTCCTGCAGGTAAGAGTATGAGATACAGGTGTGCACCCATTGCCCTGCTGCTTTGCAACTGGGAGAAAGCCAGTACACTGTTGCATCCTGTATCCTGGGTGATCTGGGGACTGGGGCTACAGTGCATTGCAGAGTATGGATGCAGTTCGTGTTCATTGCTGCTCTGGGACAGCAGCACAAATCTCACTGAAATGAGTGCTCTGTCATGGGTTCTGCTCACAAACTGAATTGTCACAGAGTGGAGAGCCACATTTGATTTTCTGCCCTACTCAGCTCTCTTTAGAGAAGAGAGCAGAAAATGGTTGAAGGTGGTTACAGGTGCGGATGGTTTCTTTCCAATAATGCGCTGTGTCCTGTAATAAATACATTCTTGAGCTCTCCATGCTAGTTTGTATAAAAGATATTTCAAAGTCCTGTAGTCCATGCTTTGTTTTGCCTGATTCATTGAAAGACTGATCTTGTATATTTTATGGTCTGGCTGGAAAGGGCAAGAGTTTTCACTCCATCTCTCTTCCAATTCCTAGCAGATGGAAGAGAGATGGAGTGAAAACTTTGAGCTCTGAAGGGGATGAGATATTTTTGCTTGGAGTCAATGGAGATGGCATTTCACATGTGATCTGTGTTCCTTGACACTAAAAATCAAGGAGCCATTGATATACACTGTACATTTCCACCTGTCATTTTAGTGTGCATGGCTCTTCAGTCAATCGTTGCCATATGAAGAATATATTTCCCTTCTCCTATTGCCAGCTTTTTCTTGTGCATTGGGAGTTGCTTACCTCTTTCTTTGGTGTGATTACACAATTGGACACCTTAATAAAACCTCAGAATCTTTTTAATTGAAGCGGTGTTTTTGTACTCATCACCCTTTGGCTGCACAATTAATTGATACTAAAAATCATAATAACATGAAACAAGAGTTAATACTAGGTTGGACCTCTGATCCATTTAGTATTCTGTCATAGAAAAAGCTCTGTGTCAGCTCCTGAGAAGGAGTGGGTGTAAATTTGAGTTACAGAAAACAGCTCTAAGCAGGACCTCCAAGTCCCTGTGTCCCAAGGCAGGATCACCACAGCTATTCCTTTAATCTTTGTCTAACCTGTATTTTAAAACCTTCGGTGATGGAGACTCCCCAGCATCCATTTCTGTCCTTGTTAAGTAGGGTACAGTGGGAGAAACTAATCTGGAAATAGAAGGACAAGCGTTAAAAGAACAGTGGGAAGTAATTTAAATTCAATATATTTTTATTCTTTGTAAATACAATGAGTACAACTTTTTAACTTCACAAATCAGTTAATCCACTTTGTACAAGAAAAGTTTTACTCATTCTATGATAGTCCAAGTGCTGATTTTTCTCAGTGCTAGTTCCTAATAACAAATCAAATTTTGAAAAGTACAGCAGCTATCTTTAAATGTTTTTTTCTACATTTTTCATACATCAAATAAGCAGCTTATAACATTTTTGTGTGTGAGAGGGTGTAGGTGAAGAAGGCTTCAAAATTAGAACCTGGAGTTTTCTAAAAAGGCATTGGAAACTTTTGGAAATTGTTAGCATTGTATCAGTTGACAACCTTTATTTCTTTGAAATAAAATTCCTTCCATGGATTTTTTTGATAGTCATTTCACTTCTCTGCACACCTCATTGACAAGGAGTTTGGCCACCGTTGCCTTTGGTTTCAGCACTGTGCCAACAGGACAGCCAGCAGGTCACTGAAGCGGTCATCTCCATTGTATTTGGTTTTGCTGTTTTAGTCTTCCTTTCTTGACTTGTCTCTTTTCAGATGTATGTGTGAATGTGTGTCTGTGTGTGTGTGGAAGAAGAAGGAGGGAAAGTTGGGGAGGGAGTGTGTAAAGCTTTTCTGTCGTTGAGATGTTAACCAAACAAATTGTGGAGACATCCGCATCAAAGATCACCAGTTCAGTTTGCAGGAAGAATGGAGCTGCTGTCATAAGCTACTTTTTAATCAGTTCTGAAGGACACTTCTTGATGTATTATAGCAGAAGCAATGTTTTGGTAACCTGGTCTTAAATGTTGCCTATCACATTAAAAACATTTTCCCAACATAGGCTACTTTTAAAACAGTTCTGAAGGCCACCGCATCTCATGTTACAACAGAAGCCAAGTTTGGTCACTGGGTTCCAAATAGTGAACAAACTAAAGTACCTTCTTTCACATTTTGTCTCAGATCTGCCAGTTAAATGAGAGAATAGCAGAGTCTTTGTTAACTATGACTGGCATCTGAATTGCCTCCGTCCTGTAGTAACAGGAATAGCAGCCAAATTCCAACCACTTTCACTTTTTCTGTGGAACAAAGGATTCTGTCCATGATCTAAATCACTCTGTTCAGAGCAGCAGAATCATATCTACTGGGGTATTTTTTTTGTCAATGAGTTTAAAGGCTAAACATTCCCAGGCTTATGCTTCCTGTAGATTTTGTTAGTTGAGGCTTATTCTCCATAGATAAAAGTTCTTCTCAAACTGTCCATCCTGATTGTTTATTTTAAGGTAATTTATATATCACTGGATTTGTACATATCTGAAAGCAGTCTTGTAATTGGTACATTCCCAATGGTCTTTTTGAAAAACACTTCTTCTATTGTAGATGGACTAATCGAACGTAAAGCTGGTAAAAGCAATAAAAGTTTTCCAAAACGACAGGGTTGTGTGGGATACCTGGGAGACAGAGAAAGAAAAAATGTTGTTGAAGTTTTTAGATATTTTCCCCAAGAAAATCTTTTACTTTACAGAAAAGACCCATATTCAGCAAATTGGTGAGTGCTACCTGTGCTAAAACCCTATGTTTTGTACTCATGTGAGCAAGGTTGACCTCAAGGAAAACTCTCTTCATGGAGGTCAACAGAATATAGACCAATGTCTCTGAGTTTTGATTAACTCTGTTTATTCCCACAGAGCAGTAGCAATACAGGATCTGCTCTGACTTGTCCCTCAGACAACAACTATGTTCCCGATGCAGTTCAGGGAAGAGCTTGACCTATAATAAATACCCTGTCATTTAAACTGCAACTTAAACCTGGCTGAATTATCGTGGTAATAATTTTGTCCCTTTTTGGTTGCCTTGTACATTGAATACCAACTGACATTTAGATTTTTTATTATTATTATTGTTAAAGCAGCTGTGTTTTATCCCCAGGTAATGTATTTACGTGTAATCCTATGTGTAACAGGATATTTTCCATCCTTTCTGCCATCTTTTGAAGCCAGTATAACATAGGATATGTATTCTAGCTGTGCTTATGCAGACTTTACACCAGTGATTCTCAAGCCTCTGTTTACAGTGGTCTCTCTAAAAGAAGGAGTAGGTTGTTTAGAGAAATATTCCACTTCTCCAGTCTACCCTCCCATGGGTCCTGTTGAGAGCAACTCCACTGAGATCAAAGGGCTGACACTGCTGTAACACTGGCAGGAAGGTAAACTGAAGCCTGAGGATGAAACGCAAGCCGAAGGCCTTATCCCATTGGAGTCAATGCGACAGCCCTGTCCCTGGGCTGCAC